CAATGCCCGGCTGCATTGGCTCGGACTCCCCCTTCTGTTGCCCTGGTGAGGATGAGGGATTGGTGGAGCCCCCTTGGGAACGAACTGGCGGCGGGCAAAGAGGAACCCCCTGATGCTTCTCTCGTCTGCAGGCCTGGATATGGAGATCGATCCAGATGGCCAGCTTGATCACCCCGTCCAATGTGGAAGGAATGTCATGGGAAACCAGCCCGTCCTTAATGTCGTCAGCCAGGTTGTGGAGGAAGGCTTCATGGAGGGCTGCAGAATTCCAGTTGCTCTGGCTGGTCTTAGTACGGAAGTTGATAGAGAAGTCGGCCACCGTCCGGTCTCCTTGCTGCATACCCATAAGCCTCCGTGCAGTCTCTGAGCTGAAAGCCCACAGGCCGAACACCTTGCACAGCTCTCCGGCGAACAACTGGAAAGAAGCGCAGGCTGGAGATTGTCTCTCCCACTCAGCAGTGCCCCACATACGAGCCCTGCCCGTCAAGTGATTGATAGTGAAGGCCACCCTCGCCTCCTCAGTAGCAAAGGTACAGGGCTGAAGGGAGAACAGCAAGGAACAGTTTGTTAGGAAAGGGCCACAAGTCTCTGGGTCTCCATCATAGTGCTCTGGGGTTCCCACCCGGCATCTCTGGGCAAAGGGGAACTTGGAGCTGGTTCTGGTGCCATTTGAGCTGGTGAGGGCATGGGAGCAGCGGGCTGACTCAGGAAGGTCGTTAGTTGCTGCATTTGCCCTACTAACGCTGCTAGCGCCTGTCCATTAGCCTCAGCCACCTGTCTAGCTTCCGAGGTGGCAGCGGACATCATGGCCTAGTGTTGCTGGAGAACGCCCTCAATTCTCTCGAGGCGTATCAGGGGTGTGGGATTGTGCGCTGGGTCCATTTCTGGCCAGATTGTACTGTAATGGGAAAAAAACAGCCACAGGGACAGGCAGACGGGGACCAGGAAGCGCGCAGGCAGAACTTGTGGACGGGGACAGAAGGCTGAGGCGTTTACCGGGGCAGAGACGAGGCAGGATGGTCAGGGACGAGCAGAGCCGATACAAGGAAGTTAGTCCGGAGATGAACGCTGGAAAGTCTTGCATGATACTAAGAACAATCTGGCAAAGTGCGAGTGAACTGGAGATGCATATATACTGGCCTGATTGGAGATGGAGTGCAGCTGGGGGCAACAGGTGAGGACAGTGAGGCTGATTAGGAGGTGATTAGGAGGTGTGGCAGAGTGGAGAGTGAGACAGAGGCATAGCAGGCTGTGACAGAAAGTAAACAGAACTGTGGAAGCAGAAATAACCTCTTTTGTATAAATAATCTTCAACCACCTGCTGGTGAGGTCAGGCTTTTCACCTGACTGAACTGTAAACAGGAACTCCAAACTTATCTCAGGACAAAGTGATTTTATTTAGAGAGAGCTGGGTCTGACTATGTGAAGGAAAAGTCTGATCTAAAAAATGAAAAGACCAAAACCAACAATGGATCGATTTGACAAACAAGTTTTGTTTCTGTATCAATTTAGTCTGAGCCACAGTTCTCTGTTCTGTCTGAAGGCCATTAAAACACATTAGTCATCATCATAGTTGCATTATAACACCTGTTTCTTAATGACCATCAACATTGTTTTGGGGCTGTCTTCTGTCCATAAATACTCATGTGACTTGGTCATTATAGAGATGAAGTCGTCAGGAAGAATCAATGGGCTTGAGACTGAGAGTCTTTTCCTGTAATGTCAGGTCTAATGTGTGTCAGTATGTGGCGTCTTACAGGAACTGTGGAGCATGTTGTCTTCACTGAAATGTGTCTCAACCATTATAGTTTCTGCCCCTGTCTGCCCTGCTCCTCCCCCAAACACATGTGATTTGCCCCTCAGTGGTTTGATACTCAGTGTTTGTCCTGTTGCTCCTCTCACCTTTCCCTGACTATAAAATATATTCACTCTGTCATCAGTTGCTTCTCTTCCACTACCAGAGACGCCTTAACATGTGACTGTCATCTCAGACAAGCAGGTTATTTGAGTCCCTGCAGCCGTGCTCCTCAATAATCAAGAAGACACCCAGTGGGTGGACGATTCTCCAAAAGACCAAAACTATTTGAATGAATAAACACACACACACTCATACAGTAAATTATGTGCATTGATGAGTTTACACAACTTTATACAGCTGTCTCTGAAACGTCTCTTGTGCTAATAGAATTTGGGTGTTATTGTTTGCTCTTGGAGAAAATTATTGTGAATTAATTTCAATGAGAAAAGAAGGAAACAGGAAGAAATTTCAAGCCACATGGTACAAATGACTTTTGGGTCCAAGCTTTTCGTAGCACAGCGTGTTCCTTCCTCACAGTACAGAGCAGACATCAGACACTTTATAAACTCAACAGCTCACAAACATTTGCAAAGTGATCCGAAGAAAGCCGATCAATTGCTCCTGGATGCAAAAGTTTATTGATTGGTGGAGAGATGTCTCATCTAGATTAGCCAGCACTGCCAGTAACAAGCAGCTCGAGCTGATGATGCTGCTGCAGAAAGAGGACAAGTCAGCTCCACGTCCAGATGTTTACAGCTGTAGAGTTCTGGAGAAAAGGCTCATTCATCAGACTGTAACAACAGAAAATACTTAATGTTGCAGAAATTTAGCATCATTGAAAAAAAGTGTGATGTTGTCTGTCGGTTGTGTCGAGTGAAAGATCTGAAGAGTTTCACTTCGTCCATACAAGAATAACATGACAGCAACCGATGATGGAGATTCTCAGGTATGAAATTCTCAGGTCTCTTCAGTGAGACAGCCAATCACAATCCACTAAATCCAACAACAACAAGTTGTTGTTATAATGGTATGTAATCAGAGCCCCACCATTAGGTTTGTTTAGAGCTGCAATTACTGATTATTTTCATTAGGACTAATCTTATGTATCAATATGTTGATTATTTTCTCTATTAATCAATCAACTATTTGATCAATAAACGGCCATAAAACATCACAGTTTCCTAAAGCCCAAGGTGATTTCTTCAAATGAGTTGTTTTTTATATTTAGTTTATCATGATATAAAAACAACAACTTCACATGTGAAAAGCTACAGAACCAAAGAATGTTTGATATTATTGTCAGAAAAAGCCTCAATGTTCAACGATCAATCAGATGGCAAAATATTTGATGATTCATTTTCTGTTGATCAAGTAATCAATCAACTGTTAATTGTTTCAGTGTGTCTGTGTGTGTGTGTGTGTGTGTGTGTGTGTGTGTGTGTGTGTGTGTGTGTGTGTAAGCCAGCATTTTCTCATGGACACAAAAATACAGGGATAATGATAAAAATGATAAATGATCAAATGTTTTCTGTGAAACTCCATGAATAAAGGAAGATGAACTTCAACCACTGACAAGCTGCTGTCGATCATCAGCTCACAGCTGATGAAAGTGAAGCAGATATTTACTGGTGTGTTTTAATAATCTATAATAATAATCTACAGCAGAGAAAATAATCTCAAATCATTGTACATGGCGGTCGTTGTTCACAATCATTGTGATGCAGTTATGTAGGTGTGTTTGATTATAAACATGTCTCTGTATATTTCTGAGTTTTGCCATTTGAAGTTGCTGACACTGTTTTTTTCAGCTTTGAGATCAAAGTGTTTATGAAACCTTCAACCCTGTTGAACAGAGAGCAGCTCTGCAAATACATATGTGTGTCCTGCAGGAGATCCTCACATTATCATTGAACTCTGTCAGAGGATGCTTTCATAAATCACTGTCCATATACATTTACAGGATATATACACATCCCAAAACCATTAACAAATAACAATGTTGAATATGTGTTTTATTGTACAGTGAATGGTCTAAACATAAACTGAAACAGTCTTGTATTATCTCGGTGAAAACATGTTGCTGCTGCTGCTGCTGACAGCATGTGAGCCCATCAGTGTCAAATCATTTGACATTTTGATACATAAAGAACAAAGAAAAACAAACTCTTTCAGTCTTGGGTGTTTGGAGAACTGACCTCAGAAACATCCTCAGAGAATTAAGAAGTGAACACTTAAGAAATAGATGCTTCTCACAACTAAAGGTGCAGGATTCATGCTGTGCTTTTCATTTGGCAACAGTTTATTGGTATTTTTTTTCTTTTTTAATGAGGACATGATACAAACGAGCACAGTGAGCCACATAAAGAAAACAGCTATAAAAGTTTGGTCTGTTTGCATTAAATGTGAACCAAGAGGTTTTATACAGCTGACATTTGAAGCCCTGAATACTGGAGCTTTGAGTAAACAACTGACTGTTCTGTACAAGTGTCCATGATTCTCTATATAAGGTTGGACTCGTGTCATGTTAAAGTCAAATCATTTTCTGTTACATATAAAATTTTCAGATTTATAAAGATATCCTTTTGAAGGCAAACACGTGTTGACAATCAAATAATTAAAGGACTGGCAAATAAAAACAGACCAAAACGATGCTTCCACGGTCCTGAGAGGTTTTTGGTCAAACGTCTTAAACATCACAATCATAACCTGTTATCGACTGATAAAATCTTTTATTACATGTGAACTCATGGGTGGAGGGAGGGGCTGTTTGTGTGTGTGTGTGTGTAAAACACTGAAATGTGATGAAAATGCCGTCAAACATCTTCACATTAAAATTTCATGTCAAATACTGAATGTTGCAGAAAAAACACTTTCTGCAGCCTATAAATGTGTTTGTTTATTGCTTGATCAGTGTGGCCCAGCAGTATGAATCTATTAATGAGTCAAATTCACACGGATTTCTTTTTAACACAATCTATTGATTAGGCTAATCAATAAACAATTATACTGACATACAAATATAGAGATTTATAAATCGTTAAATAGAGCTTAACAGAAATGCAAGCAAATAAATAGATAGATAGATAAATAAATAAATTAGTTAATAAATAAATAAATAAATAAATGTCCATTTAAAAACAAATAACAAGCACTGATTTGCCTTCAAAATCCCAGTGTGCCTTGTGGTTCAGTTTCAGATGGATTACCAGACCGTGCCTTCGCTCAGTTCGGAGGACGGCTGTGACAGCTGGTTGGTGTATCCATTGTCACTGAGGGACACAGTGGTGTAGGGTGTGCTGGGGCCACACAGCTCACTGGAGATGCTGTGCATTGAGCCCGGTCCACTGGGCTCAGGACTGGGCGAGTCCACGGGATGATGAGACACTGTGTCAGAGAAGCACTGCACGTCTCCAGGACAGTGGTGGCCCGGATGGTGGGGGTCTATGGCTCCTAATGGGGTGCCAGCAGGGACAGAGGAGGGCACAAAGCCAAGGTCTGCTGGAGTCTGGGCCTGGGACGATGGTGGGCCTTGGAAATACTCGTAATTCCCTCCTGAGCTGTAGTATTCACCAGGATAATCTGTGTTCATGAAAGAGTCTGGATTAGTGTGAGGTCTATGTCTGAATTTCATTTAAAGAGAAAAAAACAACATGAACAGAATTTAATTTTTTTTAAAAATATGTAGTCAAATCAACAGAAACAGAAAACACCTCAATACAAGAAGACTCCATTAATTCTGGTGAAAACACCTGAAGATGCACATTTCACTCTAACATCAAATCACCATCAACAGACTGAAGAATCTCATCAATCCTTTATCCCCTGAACGCAGCTCACCTCCATAGTAAGAGAAGTGTCCGAGCTCTCCTGGTTCCAGCCTCTCCCCCAGCGCCCTCATCCTCCTCGGGCTGCGGAAGAACACGTGTCTTCGCGCGCTCAGCGCGCTCAGCTGCTTCATGCGTCTCTCTTTAGACCTGCGGTTCTGGAACCACACCTGCAGGACAAAGAGAGGACAGGCCGGTGTGAGACAGGACGAGCAGGTGTCCTCCAGCGCCATTCAAGTTTCACTGCAACATTTCTGAGCTGCATGAATATTTAGACTGAATTGTTTCCGACTATTTGATGACAACAGACACTTTAAATATTATACAATAGAATATAGAATATTATACAGAATAAACTGAAGTTTGTAATTTATAATATCTAAGTGAGAAATCCTGGTGAACTAGAAAAAGATTTAGTTTGTTATATTGAAGCTAATTTTGGGAACATGAACTGATGTGTAACACACTCTGAAACACTCTTCACTTTTAAAGTATTTCGATGTAGAAAATGATTAATTAGTCCGTGAGTGGGTTTTAGTAAGGGAGCTTTTTAAAAACGTCCATGCACCTCAGTGCAGAGTGAGTCCTGCTTTTAAGAGCTGGAGGAGCGCGAGGGGAGTAAAGATTAGGCGGAAAACAGTTTGCTTTAAAAAGCCATTTGAAAAGTAAGAAAGAGCATTAAGGATGAATTCCCTCAGGGTGGCTGAAAGACGTGGAGTCTAAAAACGCCGAAAGCCACTGGTGATTATTGGTGTCCATAAAAGCCTCTTCTGGTGTTCTGTGCTTCACTTCAGCTGCTGACTTTATTATACATATAAAAATATATATATATAAACACACACATATATGTATGTGTGTTGTTTTGTTTGTGTCATTGTTTCCTGTTTAGTCGCAGCTGACTGTCCGATAATGGATGCAGAGGGGTCCTAGTAAATACACTCGTTTTCTCTGTCGCTTGTTACCTGGATGACTCTCATGTTGAGGCCGGTCTCCCGTGACAGCTGCTCCCTGATGTGTCTGGTGGGTTTCGGTGTGGCCGCGAAAGCCGCTTTCAGGGTCTCCAGCTGCTTGGCCTTTATCGTGGTCCGAGGCCCGCGCCGCTTCCCGACGGCGCCCTGCTCCTCATTCTCATTGTTGCAAACGTCTTTATCAGATAAATGTCCCGTCTCCGAGTCCTTCCCGTCGTCCTGCGGGTCCTGGGAGTCCGGGGACAGACTTGGGTCGCTGCACGTCGTGACTGTCGTGACAATAGCACGCGCTGTGTATTAGTAATTATAGGAGTCAGTCTGAACCACTCAGACGTTTTAATGTAACTCATCAACACAGAAGCACATTTATGTCAGGAATACTGTCACTGAAGATAATAAAATAAAATAAAAATAAAAATAAAAATAAAAATAAAAATAAAAATAGAAATAAAAATAAAATTAGAATTAGAAATAAAAATAGAATAAAATAAAATAAAATAAAATAAAATAAAATAAAACAATGCCCACTTTACATGTCATTTATCAATAGTTTGATTTAGAAAAATAACCTTTTTTTAAGAAAAAAAAAACATATAAAGACTGCAGTGATGGCTGATAATCACCCGAGAGGAGGATCGTGTCTTTGCCGTTGTTGTTTTGATAATCGTCTTTACAGACAAACTTGAACTCGTCCAGGATGTACAGCTCCTCTCCCGTGGACAGCTGCTTGTTACACATCACACAGGTGAAACAGTTCAGGTGAAACACTTTACTCTTGGCTCTGCGGACCAGATCACTGGGTAAAATCCCCTGAGCGCAGCCGCCACACTTGGTCCCAAATCTCCTGTTCAAGAGGCAGAGCAACAGTCAGAGGGAAGTTTCACTGTAGGTGTTACATCATGTAATGTTACTGTTTTACACTTGTTGTTAGCAAAGTTAATTTCTGATGGTTTTATAATTCTAAACAAAAAGACTAGTCATCACTGACTTCAGTTCGCCTCAGACTAATGGCCCACAAAGACACCGGGAACTGTTGTTAACTGTGCAGCTCATCTCACATATCAAATTACAATTATATTAAGTCAAATGTAAATGCATAGAACGTGATAAAATAATGTAATGTACATTAGTGTCTTTATGAATGGAAATAATGTATTTTCACATTTTTTTCTTTTTGTGTTTCTAGACGAAAAATAAAAAGAGTCACAAGGCCTCAGATGTGTCAGCGAGCGGAGTAAAGCTCCATCAGTGTTTGAGGATCCAGCGTCAGGGAACGATTCTTTTTTTATTGACAATAAAAATATAATTTTGGTACAGTTGCATTTTCTTCTGTTAATAAAATATAAATACTAAACGGTGGGCGCCTCGGGTTCTTACCTAAAGAAGTCATTCTTACAATAGAGCCTCCCCTCCCGTGAAAAACACTTCTCTGTCAAACTGCATTTGCACTCGCAGCACTGGACGCATTTGATGTGCCACGGTCTGTCCAGAACTTTGAGCAAGAACCTATCCAGAATAGGCTTCTCGCAGCTGGCACACTGCAGCATCGTCTGGAGTCTCCCTGCCCACGCTCTGCGTCTCTCTCCAACGTGTCCGTCTTCACTTGCTTGGGTATGATCCAGGAAATCCACTGTATCCAAACTAATGTCAGTAATTACATCACCGTCCGTGAGGTCACACGCAGCTCTTCTGTTACACGGGACAACAATCCACATGTGGACAACAGCTCCACACAAAAGCTCAGCTGTGGAGAGAAAGTGTCAGGCAGCATTTCTGAAACAGGATGAAAACGACTGGAGATCAGAGGCCATCAAGACGATTCGAGGTTTAAAGGTGAGGTAGCTACCCGTGAGATTACAACTCAGTGTTGTTCAGTATATCCTGAGTGGTGTCTAACAGCCCTGCCATGAGTCCGCTCAGCTCTCTGAGCTCAGTCTGAGGGAAACGTTGGAAATGAGCGCACCTCTTAAAGCTCAGCCTATTGCATGTGAAGAAAGCTGTGACGTCAGATTAAGGAAAAACCTATAAGACCACGGTTCCTTTCACTCACTGCATGAAGGCTATTATGTAAAATAAAATAAGATAAAATAAAAATAAAAATATTTAGTAGTAAATTAGTGTCATGATGCAAAATTAAATTGGACTCATAATCTGTATTTTACAACGTCTAAACTTTTGATTCAGAAGAATTTGTTTTTCCTTTTCCAAAAACGACTTATTCAAAAGAGATATCTCAACCAATAAGAAATAATTTTTTTCAATTAATTTTATAAAATTGAAATAAAAGGCTCAAGATATCAGAAGGTTTCTTCCAAACCTTGCCAACTTTATTCTCACAAACTGTGTTTAAAATAACAACCAACATTCTCATTATAATAATAACTTCTTAGTGGAATCATCAGTGAACTGACCGAGGGTCAGTGATGACATCATGTAAATAAATCCAGTATTCCTGTGGACCGCATCAGTGCAGATGATAAATCATCATCAGTATGAAGAGGACAGATGAACACAAGGCTTTTATTATTTATGTTGTGCTTCAGTATTATTCTTCATCCCGTCCTAAAGGACCAGGATCACTGATGGTTATAATCTCCGCTGATTGGCTGTTTCTTCTAGATGTTATCGCTCCGTGTTGGTGCACTGGGGACGGAGATAGCGCGTTTCCCACACTGGCTCCCAGCTCTGTCTGTCCCTGATACAACACCCGGGAAACTCTAAGCTCCATTGAATTAAACTTCAGTGGAGGAGATTTGATTTTTTCTTTGTGTTTTTTATCAGCTTAAAAAGAATCAAAACTAACATCTTCACCCAGCACGCGCAACCTCATTTGACCACGATGTTATTTCAAATCAAAAACAAATCTCTCTGTTCTGTATTTATAAAAAAAAAAACATTACGGTTAACAATAAAAAAAATCAATATAATAAACGATCAAATGAGCAAAATATGGAGGGAGGATAAGGGGTTATTGACTCATTGAACTTCCTATGTCCTAAATATTTTCCTAAACCTCAGAAACTTGTTATTTAATGTGTCAGAGAAATAACCACAATTAATTCACCTCATGAACAGGAACATCTTTCCCTCAAATTTATGACATTACATGGTTTTTATTACAAAATAGCATTTACCAGTATACAAACTCATTTTATTGGATACAGCTCATATTAGCAGTGGGCTCATAGCGGGTCTGCTTTCTGTGCTGGACAGGATTCTTCCATCATGCTCCATGGACAACACCTCAACACTCATGCTTTTTAAAATGAATTAAACGACATGAAATCATGAGCAGAAACCTTCCAGTGAATGATTGAAGCTTCTTTTAGTTTTTTGTGTCCCATCAGTCACATCCAGCTGTCAGAGCTTCTCTTCATGTGAACTATGAACAATGACAATGTATAAATGTGATGCTCTCAGACACAATTAGAGTGAATGCTGAAGACGTCTCGTACATCCTCTCAGTTTCTTAAATCTGGTCTCAGGCGTCTAAACGTAACAGTGGGTGACACTGAGAAGACCAGAGGGGAAAGTAATTATCTCTGTGGTGCACTAAGTGTGAATTGTGTGGATAAGTGTCTCCTTCTGGGTTTGTGTTTCTCCATGAGAGGTGTTGATTAGAGCCTGGCCCAGTGCGCTGGCCCCCAGCACCACTCCAACACACAAGAGGTCTCAGTGCAGCACTGGAATCTGGCAGGAGCCACACTGTTTGTTTTGGAATGAAAAAAGCATGTCATTAGTATTTGTTAATTGCAGCTAATTGGCCCTAACGAGATGAGCAAGGCCACCCACTGGGGAATATTCATACAAATAATTTGTGGAAAACAAAATTAATTACTTGATGCTAATTAAAGTCAATTAAAACTGATTAGGCAGCGGTGGAAAGGGAAAGTTATAGATGGCACAAAAACACCTCAACACACAATCTGACATGATTAATGATTAATGTGGCAGCTCAAAGAGCTCCCTGCTGCAAAACACAGGGTCTCACCGTCCAATCAGAACCTCACATAACGCCAGTGATAGTAGTAATAACTGCCTTGAGACCAGGAGGAGGATTATACTTGGCAAACAATCAGTCATGAAGCTTCATTATTATCTCTCTTATTTCAAATTAAAGACGCAGTTTGCTCCCAGTTTGACTTCCTTTAACCGTTTGGTAGAACACATGTGACCTGTGTTGACCTCGCTTCTCCTCACTGAGCGTCTGCAGCGCTCAGTTCAAGTAGAACTTTTCAAATAGCTTCTTCTAATTATAATTATAATTATAATAATTATACATAATACATGTATTCGATGTAAGTCTAGTTTAAAACTGATAATGAGCCAACAAAGCCGAATTTAAGCACAATAACTGTGTGTATTGACAAATCTCAGTCTGATCAGAGGTGATGCATCTTCTGCCCAACGGTTCACACTGAAATTTTGAACACAGTCATTTGTAACAATAACTTCATAATGGTAGGATTTATGTATTACTCTGCTTTAGTTTGTAGTTCAATGGTCAGATTGTAACATGGTATGTGGTAAAAACACAAACATCTGTAAGCAGTGTTAAAGCAGTTTCCACCTGTAGCGTCTTCACCCGTCTGAGACGTGGAGCAGCTCAGTGGGACATGTTCAGAACAGCTACAGTGTTTGGACAGTGTGTGCCTGACTCAACGAGCGTAATGCAGGTAGCACAGAAGAATTCAGAGGGACTGTCAGATTCTTCCCATCACATTTAATTACCTCCCATCTGACACTAGGAAACAAAATGTCACATCAGGGATGTGGTCTCATGCAGATGTGCAGCTTCATCAGTCCAACACCTATGGACTGACATTACTGATGGTTTGCTCTTGCCCTGTCAGAGGGGCACAGAGGGAGTGGAGATGGAACAGCTCAGTGTGAAATTATCCTAGAACCTCCCAGAGAGAGCGGGCCATATTAAGTTAATGTAAAAACTCCCGTGTGTATAATCAAACAGCGATTGTGAAAAGAGAGAATTCAGTCCTGCTGAACATCATCAGAAACTGTTGTGGATTAGTCAGAGCCGCGCTGCAGCGGGGAGACGCTCATTTCATGCACCACACCTGATTATCCAGAGCTGGTGAAATGATAGCAGCGAGTGGTGGAGTTCAAGCAGTGTCACATTGTCTGCATGAGTGAGGAAGAGGAGAGGGAAACCTACCCCACAGGAGGGAGGAGAGAGTGATCTGCCTGAGGGGTCGTTCAGTGAGAGGCCCCCAAGGGACGGAGGGCCCCCAGCCCCGGTGATGATGGTGATTGATGTGGGCACAATTCAGACACCCCAGATGCTGCAGCAAATTAAAAGGCTATTTTGTAAAGTTGTAAAGGAGCTGAATGGCAAAGGGGAGCCCAAACCCCCCCCCCACTCTGTCACAGCATCAACTTCTCTTTAGTTTCCTTGGTGTCATCACTCCCTCAGGGAGGAGAGCTATTACAAGCCTATCATGCTCATCCATACTGGATCCACCACTGATGCTGCCTGTGCACACACACTGTGTATGAGTGTGTGTGTGTGTGTGTGTGTGTGTGTGTGTGTCTCAAGACTATCTATGAGTCAACAAGCAAATGTTGATTTTGTTGTGAATATTTCTGAATTCTCAGCTGTGCAGAGAAGTGTGTCGTTTCCTGTCCATGATTTCCTGATCATTTATCCTCAAGTTGAATTTAATTGACCGGGCTGACCTGAGGATGCTCCATTGTTGGGTGTGTGTCCTGCCCGGGAGTGATGAGTGTGTGGACTGCAGATAGAGAGACAGTGTGTCAGGCTACAGGCAGAGCAGCCTTTGGGGAGGACGACTCACATGCCAGAGGTCAACCCAGTGTCAAGTGGGGAGTGAGCCCAGCTGAGCTGCCGCAGCCCACGCATTGTGCTCATCAATGCAGCTGCTGTCAGTTATCAGGAGTGGCCGGGGGTGGGGGCGCCGGCTGTGTTGATAGAAAGGAGCGTGCTTGTGTGTATGTTTGGGGGGAAGTGGAGGGACAGGGGATGGGGGGTTGCTGGAGCTTGGGGGCATATGGTCCTTCCACCCAAGGAAAAGGGCTGTTTTCAACGCAACACATGCCAAGTCTCTCACAAGCAGGTCACCTGCCGCACATCTCTGGCTTTAGCTTTTTTACTAAAGGTCTATGATACATGAATTATGATACATTTATAACACTGTGAAATTACCAATCTATAGCAGTATATATATTTCAATAAATTATATTTATATTTCAATCCCCTTTCAAAACTAGAATTCAGAGTAAAAGTTGTAAATTTAAAGAGCAGGCATCAGCCACTGTTCATCGATTTATCTTTCTGACACTACTGATTTATAGTAGCATATGTGTTATAATGATAATAATACTGATAATAACAAGAGGAGAATGCATTAGAAGAAATTAAACTCATTTTTAAACATAGTTTTAATGCAGAAGACAAATAAAAAATACAATGTTTTTGTGTTTGCTGTCTGATTATCATCATCTCCTCGGTGGCTGCTGGGATCTCAGGCAGGGGTGATATGTTTCAGGCTGGAGTGAGGAGGCTTGAGGCCCT